CTGACCTTCTTTCCTTCTTTCTGCTTCTACGCTTTTGTTTCATGCTTTCTGACTTACCTCAAAGTGACTTTCTTACAATTTCTTTCCAGTTTAAAAAAAAAATTTATTTTATTAATACTTTAAATAAAAATGACGAGTAACTTAAGCAAATGACATAAGTTCTCAAGAAATTGATTGCATTTCCTGATCTATTGTCTTCTGATGACTGGCAATGTTCAGAGAAACTTGAAGGCAAAGTAAAAACTATAGCTCTAGGCCTCGCCTAGTTAGGTCAGTTTCTTGCACATTTTGATATTTTCTCCTTTACAGCAATATTCTACATGGAAAGACTGGCAATCATTAAATCAAGATCTTAATAAGCCACTAAGAAAACAACCAATTTAGAAATACACACTATGTACAAGTGACCCATTCTGACCTTCTGCATATTGAAAACAATTCCCAGTTCAAGCATGCAGTGTGGGTGCCTCCCCATCCAGTTAGGCATTCTCTCAGGAAGAAAAAGAAAAAAAGAAAAAAAAACATTATTAAAAAGTAACACACGTGTTCCTATATTTTAATTACCCAATAATTAATCTCTTATTATTCAGTCAAACTCTAAACATACAATCATGTGCAAAGAATCTGCAAAAAGCAAGTTTAGAAGCCAGGTGTTTGCTGAGATCCCCCCAAAAAACACTGTATGGATGAAAACCTGAGAGGGTAACTGAGATTCAAAGCAAACCTGTGTGCACCCTATGACATATGGCAAATAATTATTTGGCTTGTCTTATAAAAGATGGAAAAGGATTATTTTGTAGTGCACGGTACTGAGCTAAAAATTGCCACCAGTTATTATCCTGGTATGAAGACTTTCCTCAATCTTTTGTTATTAGTCATAAACAAAAAAATTCAATAAATAAGCTGTAATGATCAGTTAAGAACATTGGTTGCTTTAATTATTTGCAGACTTCCACTTTTTGTTTAATAAGGACGATCTGGATTTTTCTTTTCAGTTATTTGATTAGAGTAGTGTGAAAGTTCATTTTGGATAAAAACACATGAGAAATGAAGGCAACCTTAAATTTCAAAACCAGAAGCAACTCAGAAGAGTTCACTACCCTTATCATAGGCTAAATGCATTATGAAAAATTGTTTGAATTCTTCACATATGGCTTGTGTGACTCATTTGCAATACATGCTAGAGTGCTGGAAACAGCTCATGGATGTGAACCTCAGTGACTGTTGCATAAGATTTAGTAATCTTATATATCTCAGGATTTAGTACCTTGCATATCTGTCTAGAGGAATAAACAGTCAGATACAGGACAAAATCTTAGAAGAGCAGTGGTAGTGATGCAACACATACGATATATGATTCTCCTCTCTTGCCCCCCTAAATCTCTCCAGTTTCCTCTTTATCTCTCTGGGTATTGTTTTTCAAACCCAAAACCCCCCTCAGTGTGCCTTTCCTTTTCTATTAAAAAAAATAATAATAAATCATGGAGTAAAAGAAGTAAAATTAGACCATAAATAAAATAGATTATGATCAATTTACAAAGGGAAATGATCTTGTGGAAGACTGTTGGCATATTATTGTAGCAGATCTTTTTGGTTATGCTCTACTGAATATTTGTCCTGCTTTCTATCTCATAAAGGCTGAGACTTCTGTCACAAGTCCTTGCACACTGAAAACCTTAAATGTCATTCTTGTATTGCCTTGCCACAATTCACTGCTCACATTTTATTTTTGTTTTCTCCATGGTATATGCACTTGCTATCCACATCAACCACATATATTGGACAGATTTTTCCACAAAGTACCCTTTTGTACCTCTCCCTCCTTCCTGCCCTTATTTATTAAATTAAACCATGAAGCACAGTAAAAGGTGTGAGCATCAAGTTATTTTCATTTACTGGCTCCCAATTAAGCACTCAGCTGTTGCACTTGAGAATAATAGCCATCCAGGAATCCTCGCACAAGCTAAAGCAAGGAGAGTGGTAGGCAGAAGGACCCTTACTACAGCAGTCCTCATGGATGACCTGTTCTAAGGATCACTGGGAGCTGGCATTGATCTATTGAAGAATAGAAGGCTGACTGGCTAATGAAGGCATCAGTAGGAGTACACTCACGACAAAGGTTTGGTGTTCAGTGTTTTGACACATGGTGCAGCAGCAGTGAACCTTATGTTAAAACTACACCTCTTAATGGCTATATTTTATTTTCTTAGAAGTATAAGGTGAGAAGCAAAACAAAAATAATACCATTTTGAAGCAATATTAGTGTGAATACAATGCAGTAGAAATCGAATTAGCCATGAGTCCCTGCTGACCTGTAGGAAATAGCTGTTAAAGCTAATTCGCATTGTAACACATAATGGTATTATCGATTTACTTGATACGTGGTTGATGAGTGTAATTTTTCAGGCTCTTTGAATACAGTAAATCCTGTTTACTCTTTTAGTGCAAACCTGCCTGCTGTCTATAATTCGACTTTCCTTTTATTGTCTCCTCATTGTTCATTCAAATAGGCCTACCCACATTCCTTCACTAGGACTTGATAACATATTCTGTGGGAGCACCTGCGTGACCTTTTTATTACATCTCTGTTATCCTTTGTGACAGTGTAGTGGGCAATTCAAGAGAAACTAACAGCTGAATGGCAGGGGAGCATTAACCCCTTCAGGGACTGCACTTCATGGAAACATCATGATACCACATCATGGAAACATGAGGAATGGGTCAGGGTCAACCAGAAAGATCATAACGAGTCTTGAAAACCCTGAAACTGTAAAGAAGCAGCTGTGACAGAATGAATTAAATTCTACTCTAAAAACCAAAAAGGAAAAAAAGAAAACTTTTAAGTTTCTGGTATTGTACAAAATATGCTACAAAGGCAAAGGGACTTTGGACTTTGAAAGACACTGCCTGCCTTGCAGTCATTCTCATGGTGAGCAGGGAGTCAAGATCTTTTCTGACACAGAAAGGATTGAGAGTAAATTTATTTTATTTCTTTTTTTTTTCCACCAAATTTTTCCTTTTATTCTCAGGGATTTTAGCCTCTATGTGATTAGGAAAGACATTATCAGTGAATTCTAAATTCTCTTTTAAGAGTATATGTATTTCCCTGTTATTCAACTATCATCCTGGTTTTCCAAAACAAATATGTTTTATAAACAGTGAAGTGAATATTCACTTCTTTATGGTGCCAGTATCTGGCTATCTTATCCCCTACACAAAATAGAACAATACTTAAGAATCCCGTCACAGGCTTAAATGCGTTCTGAAAAGGCAGGAATAGGTTGTCTTCCTTCCTTTAGACCGCTATGTTTTCTGTGTTGTCACATCAGTTTAGGCCTGGAAACTGCCATGACTCTGGGCTTGGAAGGTCATGGTATCTCCTTTCTACTTGTTTCCCAGGTTCATCATGCATAAGGATAAAGTATTAGATACTGGAGTTCTTAGAATAATTCAGAATTGTATCCGGAGACATGACAATATTTTTTGTTTGAGTAATCTCATTTTCTCCCAAATTTCTGTCTTGGTCTGGCAATTTGCCAGAATTGCTGCCTTTTCTCAGTGGTGGTGTCCTTCACAGCAGCAAATACACATCATTTCTTGACAGCCTTTGATTCTGCAAATTCCTCCCAAAATAAAAAAAAAGAAAATACTCAGGACATTTTATATCCTTTTCTCTAACCCTTCCAAAACAACGGTGATGTCTGAAGGTTCATTTGCCCTTTGTCCTCTCAGCAATCACATATCAGACTGAACTGCCTTGGACTGTTGACCTTTACTCAAACATTTTGTGGTTCTGAAATTCTAAGTGAAAAAAAAAAAAAAAAAAAGAAGAGTCTTAAAATCCTGCTCCTGGTTCCTATTCATAATCGTACTGGCCTTTACAAAGAAAAATCATAAAATGAGTTTGCTACCTGTACAGAATTTAACAGAATAAATGAAAATTATTTAAAAATAACATCTATTTCAGTACTTTAAAAATATCTAATTAAATATTCCATTAAATTTTCATGCATGCACCCTGGTCTTCCCTATCCAGTCAGGTCATGCTATCTGTTTTAATTACACTTCCTGAGCACTGATCAGCTACATGAATACATTTTTAGCTGATGTCCTTTTTAATTCAATGCATATTTTCTACTAAATATAAATTTACAGAGGAAATACTGTAAGTTCTTTATTTCCACTTATCTGAAAACCAAAGTTCATACAACTTATTGATTTAACTGGGCTTTTTCTTTCTGAAATTCTACAGTGCCATCCAAACTCCATTTCAATATTAATTTATGATAATCATCAACCATGATAGTAGTAATAATAAGAGAAAAACATGATCTTCTCATATTTATCTACTGTTCTTGGAACAGTACTACTGAAGACCTGAGGTTCAGTGTACATGAAAATCACCAGGATTTTCATGAAGATATTGTGAGCACATGGCTTTAGCAATTTCCTTTCTCCTGTCAAAATTACATATGCAGGAGTCAGTCCTTCTCCCTATTTAAGAAGTTTATATAGGAAGATAACAGTAAAAGCAGAGCGTCCAAGTTCAGATCTCCTATCTGAAGGTACTAAATGCTACATCAATCAATAAGGGACTTTAACTGTCACAGAGGTCCTCTGTGCACCTTTTGTTCTGCTTGGATTTTATTTCTGTCCATATCTTTCTCATCTACCACATTCCTACAGGCAAAGACTCTTACAAATTTATCATCAAATGGAAGAACCACGAAGCTATTTTTGAAGGATATTAGTCAACTGAAATAAAAAATTGTTCTGATCTGTTTAAGCCAAGACTCTTCCTCTACAGTTGTGATGCTAAATTTTTTGTACATATCATTGCTGCCATAAGCTGTCAACTTTGGCTCTACTCACAATGCACAAATAGAGCTAGACTTATTTATAATGGGTTGTTTCTCTTAAAAAACAGTTATGCCCTGAGCTTGCTTTGATAGTAATTACAGTTTACAAAAAATGTGTTTGATATCTGCTACTATTTGTCCAGACAGTTGAAAAATATTAATGACAAAATAAACAAAGGACTGGAGAAATAATGCTGGAGTTTTTCATTGTAGGTAACCTCCCATGAGAGTAGTTATCTATGCAGACCAAAAAGGTAATTATTATTTACAAGGTTTTCTTGCTTACTCTGGGAGACGTGATAATTTTCTGGTGGTGTTAAGCTGTTTTCTTCACAAGCAATACTTTTCTCCTTAAAAGATTAAACACAGATTTATTAATTGCTTTCAATATTTTTGCTTTTAAATAAGGCTTTTTTTTTGCTTTTTTTCTCTTTTCCTTTTTCTTTTTTCATGAAAAGTAAGTCATGAGAAGCCAGAAAACAAAACAAAAAAAAAACCAAAAACAAACCCACACAAACCAACCAAAAAAAACCAAAACCAACAGAAACTCAAACAAACCAACAATCCCATTAGAAAATGTTATGGTTTAAACCCAACCACTCAGCTCGTTCACTCACTCCCCCCCCTTCTTCCACTGTATCGCCCCACACAATAATGACTCAAAGTCATCAAGAAGAAAGAAGTCAAAAATCAAGTCCTACTTTCTACAATGTATTCTATTTCATAGGATATATATACATACTACATATACATTTCATCTCTGAAGAAGCTAGAATAACAAGAGGTTACACAGCCCCAGGTCCAGAAGTGATTGATATAATATGACTTGCACCCTGCTCAGGCAGGCTACGTGCCTCAGAAGCAGAGGCTGTTAGTGTACTGGGTGATGGAGCAGGCCAAGGAGTGTTCAGATGATTGACACTACTGTGAGGGGTGATGGAGGACACACACAGAATAACTGGTGGTACCTTCTCGTGCGTGTTTGTGCTGCAGAGGGTAGGAAAGTTAACCATAGGGCCGGAGGTCTCATCCAGAGCACATCCAGAGCCTATGGCTCAGCCTGGGCTTGCACCCAGATGCGTTGGATGTGGGACAAGTCTAGGCTCAGGCATATGACTTACATTAAAAGACAATTTATTAATGTATGTATAGATATATTTATATACCCACATAAATCCACTTCCTTAGATACTTTTATCATGATTTTCTTAAGGGTATGTAAACATTAAAACCCCAAGCATCCAAAATGGTTTTGTACAGGTACAGCATTTCCATAACAAAACACATTCACCTAAAAAGTGATATTTATCTCTGAAACTTCCAAATAGCTTGTTCAAGATTTTTAGGAAAAAAAAAAGACTGTTTAAAACCAACAGGTATTTAAATTCTTCCAAGCTTGACAATGTCTGGCTTGCTCTGTAATTATAATTTACCAGACATAAGGCCAGAGGGTAATTTTTTCCTGATGTTTCCTTTATAAAAATGAGCAGTGAAATCAGAAAATACACCAATTTTCTCTTTATTTAAAAAAAAGTGAAAATCATAGTTACCTGCTAAGAGCCATCTCTTTGATGCAATTTATGGATGTAAATAAAATCCACATCTAGGATCACCAAATAAGAAACAAACGTACTACAAACCAAAAACTACTTGTAATTTATTTTTTAAATCTCTTTTTACTTCAAATTAATAAAATATTTAAAAGTTAATTAAACCCAACCTAAACCCAAAGCAAATCAAAGACAGCTTTTGTTAAAAGCTTTTCTAGCACTAAAGTGAACTGAAAGCAGCTGATAGGAAAAAAAGAAAAAGAGCAATGCAAATGTTTGCATGCAAATGCAAAAAAGAGAATGAAATGTATGAGCTATTTAAGATAAAAAGCCCTTGATATATAGCTAAATAACTAACACAGTTTAAACATAATAGCAGAAAGAGAAATTCTAAAATGATAGACCTACTTGTGGACAGAGAAGATGTCATTTTAACAGGTACAAAAAAGGCAGAAGAATTCCTTATATACTTCAGAAGCAGGGAGTTCAAATACACATATCAAACGAAGGGAGATCTTTTTAGCCCATCAGTACTTAATGATAAATAAAGCCTGGTAGGGTGAACAGTAAAGATGAATAAGGATGTTTACCTACTTAACAGTGAAGACTCAGAATTTAGTTTCCATTTGAAGCTGGTTCATAATTCATTAACTAATACATTTGAGAAGTAAGTTGGTTTCATTGGCTTTCAATACTGATTTCTTTCATCCTTTAACAATATAACAAAAATTTAAAATTAATCTTGCTACCAGAAGCAAGTACAAATGATTTATAATAACGTAAACTTTTTTCTCTAAATTAAATTAGTATATAAAATTAGTGGTGATTCATGTCATCAAATCATCCAAGAAATGTGGAACCTAGGCATCCATCTCAGCTAAAAGTTCACATCCTTCACAGGTCAGTAATGAGAAATAGCTACCTAGGCAGAAGTGATTCATCATAACATCAAGCAGGTGTCTAACCTCCCATTAATAGCTATTTAGGTTTTGACTCAGTATCTTTGAAAGCTGAAAAACGTTGATTTAAGTAGATGAAAATAACCACTTGGGCATCTTTGAAAGTAAGGAATTTCTTAAAATAGAGATGTTTATTACTAAAAATCCTATCTTTTGGAGCTATCATGAGCAAACGACAAATACAGAATTATTCACAATATACAATTTTGTTTCTCCTTTTTAATAACAATACTTAAGTGTAGGTAACATATAACAATGAATATTCCCTACGAGTGAAAAATTTAAAAGACATCTTAAGTTTTCTTATACTAGGTAATCTGAAAACAAATTAGACCCGCAAAGTGTAGAGCAATTAACCTTCTTACGTATTATATATATCTCTTCTAAAGCTAATTGCATTTTAATTGGGTTTCACTAAGTGGACAGTTTTGGAATGAGAAATTAGGTTTTAAATATTTTTGGTTTTAATTAGTGCTAATTTTACTGGTGATTTGCTTCAGCATAGCAGTATCGGGGCTGAATTAATACTGCCTGAAGCTATTATACATTTCAAGGCCATAAATGTTGTCAAGTTCAGTAGTTCTGAAGAAAAAAAAATGAGGAAGTTTGGCCCCAAAAGGAAAAATAACTGAATAAAATTCTTAAGCTATAATGGTTCTGCAAATATTCTAGGAAAGGCATTTTGTGCTGCAAATCTTTTCATATTTCGAAATAAATTTGACCTTTTTCTATGTGTATAGTCTCAACAGAACCCTGGATTAAACTTGAATATTTGAGATAAAAATCTTTCCTTTTTTTCTCAAGTTTACTTCCCATTATGCGACAGTGTCTTATTCATATTCACTAGCAAATATACAAATAGTCCTTGTGAAATAGCTTCCTTTAAAAATGAGGGCATCTTTTTCTAACCACATACACATTTAACATCTATCTTTTGAAAGCATCCTTTTGGCTTTTATTCACTTGCTAGCACTTCCTTCCTATCTGCAATGTCATCTTTTCACCAACTGTTAGCTGGGCTTTATGCATGTGCTTCATCAAATCTCCTTGCTCCCCTTTTCCTGGTATCCCTGACCCTCCCTTCCACGGAGGAACACCTGTTGCCCATTCTCTGATCATGACAACTGGAGTCGGATGAATTGGAGTGGTTGAGTACCCTGGGATATAACCCAAAGAGGTTGATGAGGCCTTTTCCTCTCAGGGTGAGCATCATTGAAATTCTTTCCCAAATGTTTTATGTCAATGATGTTCAGCTGCAGTATCTTTCAGGACAAATCCCAAGACCCCATTTCATTCATAATTTCTGTTGTTTGCCTAATTGTGTATGGTCTGACTGCATGTGGGAGTCTGTTGTGTTACTAGCTGCTACAGTGTTGCTTAGTTGAGGCATGTTGTGCTTTTGTAATATATTATCATGTCTCATTTGCAGATGCCACACTTAGGGGCTCCTAATACCAATAAAGTTAGCTTAGAAGCTACCATTCCTCCTTACTTCTGCAATATGATATGCTCCTCAAACAGCAGAATGGTTAGCCTTACAGAATAGTGGTTCTGAATAATACTATAATCAGATAAGTCATACTTTTGAATACATGTATTAATGAATATGCTTTTCTATGTATGTGAATAAAACAAAAGGAATAATTAAAAATCATACATTATTGTGACTCTAATCTAAAATTAGTTTCTCACAGATTTGTTTCATATATGAATTTCATTAGCACATTGGTTTTTATTCTTTATTAATAGAAAATAATTTAATAGACTAATAAATAATATTACTTCCTGGCAGGATTGTTAGGGAGAATAAATATATTAAAAATTATGAGGGGTGTAGTGTATATTCAGATATAAGTACATGTACCTAAAAGAGACATCTTCCTAGTATACTTGAAATGTTAAATAAACTTCAGGCCATTACCTTTTGATATAATCAAAAGATACCTTTCACCCAGAATGTTGCTGTACACAATACTTTCAAACTTTTTCATTCTGTATGTAGCAGCTATTTTGAACACTACCTCATTTAAGAGTATTCAAAGCACCTTACACACAATAAAAGTATGAACATATGGACATACATTATTTCCCAATGAATCTTACTCTGAAAAAAATATCTGAAACTACTATTTAAAGACGTCCCAAGCATTTTATTTTTTGGGGAGAGGTGAAGGGGAGTTATACAGGTATTTTAAGTTTTATATTTATGAATCAACTCTTAATTTTTCACCTAAATATTTTCCTGCCTAAACAAGCATATAATACACTGATGCTAGTGTGGGGAAATCATTCTGATTCCAGAAATGCCTATAATTAGTGGATCTGGATGGTTCAAATTAGCAATATTTGTACTGAAAAAAGTTTTGCAATGAACCTGTGCCAAGTAAAACATCTGGAAAGTCAGAATAGCAACAATCATAGTCTGAATTACAAAAGGAAATTTCAACTAAAATGTAGAAGGGCTCAGTTATATTATGACTAAGGTGGGTAGCCTACATATTGACCTAAAAGACCATTGAAAAGTGCATGCTCATTTAAGCAACTTATTCAGCTCATATAAAAATCAAAGATCAACAGCTCCAGATGTACAGTTTATGTGCAGACATATTTGTATGAAGAAGTGAGCCCTGGAAATGGGTTTGCAATGGAGAACTTATGTATGCTTCCTGCATAGCAAAAGCACAGACTAAATGGCTGACA